AGGAATGGTAAAAGCTCTTTAAAATTTATTGAAATTTATTTAATTAAATGTAAATTCTATTTATTTAATTAAATTTATATATTTAATTTATATATATATATATAGAGAGAGAGAGAGTGGGGGAGAAAGAGAGATACAATAAGGGACAAATTGGAAAATTTATAATAATATTTTGTTTTTATTGTAGCTTAATCAGAAAATGTTTTACAAATCTTTTAAAAATTTCTGATGAAGCTAAAATAAAAGTGAAACATCTTAATTTTATAAATGTTTTCTTAGTTTATTTTAATTGTTTCACCCAAAGCAAGGCGACAATGCCACTGGAACGCAGTGGGTTACAAGGAGTGAATGAGAAAGGGAATGAGAAATTTGAAAATGGGAAAGATTGAAGAAAGGACAAAAAAAGGATAGAGATAGAAGATGGCCATTGACATTGCACTTAAATTTTAGAAGAATGTAACCATCAGGGAAGCAAGAAATCAGGAGTTCCACAGGTAAGATGTGCAGGAAAAACAACTCAACCCCACCAATGACACCTCACTCATGCTACGATGCTACTTCCCTAATCCACTTGAGGCCTCTCTCATTTTCACCATTGTGAACTTGGTCAACCAGCCCAACAAATCTGTCAACTCCCAGCCTTACCCACAACACCTAATTGCTTCCCTTATCAACAGCTACTAAAGAACCACATATCAGCAATTCTGTTACCTTTTCACACAATTATATATAATGTATATATTCTGAAAATTGATCAATACACACTTGTTGAAATTTTAATCCTTGTTTGTTCTTTCCTTTTTCAACTATAAGCTGGTTATAACAATTTCATTCATAGAAGTCAGTCAGTTATGTGCCATGTGTGATATACGCTTAGGCGATCATGTATCTTTTGACACATGACTGACGAGGCATATTTTTTTCCACAGTAGGTTGTCATTTCTTTCTGTGGTAGACCAGTTACCATCCAAGAACCTGGTCTGTCCTGCTATTTGCCCATAGCTGGGGAAGGGGAGAAGAAGTGGATTCATACCTTTCCGAAGAATATTAGCCATAAGGGAACTTAATGGATTCGACTGGAATTCAAACTCAACTCTCCGATTCCTCAATCTGAGTCGCTATCCATGCCTTCCCCATTCATAGAAAGGATAACAAAAAGACAAATATATGTTCACTGCCTTTAGTTATGATCTTATTGTTATTGTTATCTTTGACCGGTGGACAACAAAGACTTATCTTTCTTTTAATAACCATGGAATTTTACCTATGGTAGTAAAAATATACTTTTCAATAATATAGATGAAAGTGACCTAACAGCATCAGAGAAAATGGAATCTAAAAGTAGAAATAGTTTGGCTTCAATTAATGCTTTTGCTCTGAGAAAAGGCATGGACCCATCTTTTTTGTCTCCTAGTTATTGGTAAAAATAAAGTTGTGTTCTCTAGTCTTGAGTGGTAACATTTTTAAGAGAAAAGCAATTCTGAACTCAAACTAGTTAAATATACCATTTGTCTATGCATTGAATACTATTGTCATATCTAGTCTGGTGTTCCTGCTGTACATCTAGAGATTCTTGACAAAATCTAAAGAAGGATCCATAATGTAGCTGGTCCTAGCCAGGCATCTCAACTTCAGTCACTTTCTCACCAACATGACATGGTTTCCCTCTGTCTTTTCTACAAATACTTTCATGGCAACTGCTCGGACAAGCTTTTTTTCCTGGTACCCCAAATATATGAATTTAAGTGTGCTATTAGACTGGTATCTAGGTCCCTCCCTTTTATGATTGAAATAGCTAAATGCAACCACCACTTCTACTCCAACAGTTTCTTTTCTTGCATTTCTCACTTTTGAAACTCTCTTCTGTTTCCTTGCTTCCCTGATATCTACAATCTTCAAAAATTTAAATGCAATGTCAATCAACATCTTCAATCTTCTTGAACCCCATTCACCTTTTGTCCTTTTCTCAAGGTACCCTATTCTCATTCTTCTCTTTCACTTACACTCCCTGTACCCCACTGCATACTAGTTGCATTACTGCCTTGCTTGGGGTGAAATGATTAAAAAAAAGTTGTGCATGAGGCTAGAAAATTTACCTTGTAATACCTATTGGCTACTGAAAACACGACAACCTCACCTTGTGTGGTGTTACTGCAGCCCTATGAGTATCTACAAGTTTCAAGAAGAAAGAATAAATACAGATTTCTTTCTTAAAGCAAAAGGGAATTAAATTTGATCCAATTTGAACCTTGTTGATGTTAATGTGGAGGTGCAGGTGATATAATGGTTGAGCAGCTTGGAAATAGAAAGTTGAGCTCATCATATTCACTTTTTATGCAAATAAAGAATCCATCCCTTTGTATTATAGCTATGGATTAAATAGTAGGACAGACTGGATTATTCAGCCTTGCTTGGAAACCAACCTAGAAGAATAACTCTGAATTCCATGGAAAGTCAACAGCAACATTTAACATGTTGACAGCAGTGGCTCCCAAACTCCTCAGTGGAGTCTATGGTACTTGAGAACTGTGGTTGCCATACTCCTTAGTGGAGTCTGTGGGGTTTGAGTGCTGTGGCCACCATCCTCCTGAATGAAGCTTATGGGACTTGAGAACTGTGGCCCCCATACTCCTCAGTAGAGTCTATGGAACTTGAGTGAGAGGGAGGAAGATGTTAACATTGATTTTACAAGATGTCATTTTTTAATCTGTTTATCAATTTTTAACATGTTAGCTAACATCTAGTTCATTTACATCCTATATACGTTACAATCTTGTAAAATAACATGTTTTTGTGACATATATACTTAATATTACTAATTACTAACCTTCTACCATGAGTGATAAAGTGATTTATAGTATTTTTTTAAAAAAAAAACATGTAATGGCATTATGTTATCAGTTTGTAGTGGCATAGTCTCTTTTTTCTTTTTGAACTGAAATATTTTCTTGTGTTCTATATTTATGTGATATATATAGACATATATAGTTATTGTTGGAACATATATGGTTGTCATGGAAAGATTATTGTGATCGCATGACATTTTTTGAAAGGATATACTATCGTATAATCTGTACTGACTTCCACTCCTGCTCATACGACCTCATCCAGTAATCCACCATCTTGAAAGGCTCTTGGGCCTTGTATTGGGTGAACATTTAGTAAAATATATATGTAAAGCTTGATTTTCATCTAATTTAAAATTGCAAATAATATGTCCACAACTCAACATTTATGTGTGCATGGGTATGTACAAAAAATTTCTGAATGCCAAATTTGCATGGATGACATCCCATGAATCTATACACATTTGTATTGTAACAGTATTAAATTACCAGTTTGTTACAGGTATCTTCCATTTGTAGTAGTGTTAACTCATTCATTGAAGTGATATATATGTGTGTGTGTGTGTGTGAGATAGGTTATATTGGAGAGATCGTTGTTATCATCTGAGGTTTTTAAAGACTGGAGACAGTCTAGTGATAGTATTGTGTTATATGCAACATTGTTTGTTGGGGACTTTTTAATCCCCAACAAACTATGGAAACAAGACACGTCCTATAGCTGGAGAGAGTGAGAGAGAAAAGAGAAATAGTATTTGTGCCTTTTCCTTTTATAATGCCTACCTGCTTGTATCCAAGTCTGCTAAGACAGATAGCCAATCTTTGTTGCAGACACCTGATCAGCCACATTTGTGATTTTCTAAGTGTAGCTTAGATGTGTCACAAGGTCAAAAGTATGAGGCACCCAGTGAGGACTGAATTCACTATTCATTCATAATTGATCTAGTAAGACAAGCTTTCTAAATATTACACCATGTCGAAGTGGATCAGACACATTTGTGTTTGTTCAACATCCCCAGAACACAACTGTGGTTTGTACTGCAACCATGCTGACTGGACCTTAGTAACAGTTTCTGAAAGAGAGCTCATAATCTGGCATCATCAACTGTTAGAACAGGCTAGTATGCTCCAACTCTCGGTCATGGCAACTGGTGACTTCATGCTGGAATGACCATTGACAGCTTCTGAATAGTTCTATCTACCCAATTTTACTCAAAGGCTTGGGTCAACTTCAGGCACTTCTCAACAGTGATGTGTAGCTTGCTACTTGTTTTCCGAGTACACTCATCTGTTACGGCAATGAGTCCAGATACATTTGCATTTTTGCAACACCCATAGAGCCACCCTATGAATGAACCTTACTAAGAATTTATGGGAGAGAGCAATTCCATCTACCCAATTTCATTCACAAGGCTTTGGTCAACCTGTGGTACAGTTTACAGGCACTTTCCAAAGGTGCTGCACACTGTAATCACCTCCCCAGGCCAATAACATCAAGAAGCCACCATACTGACAAATTGACCACAATTAGATTTGAACCTAAATCTCGTAGTCGGAAAGTGAACATTCTAACCACTCAATTACATGCTTATTCAACACCTACAGAGCCGACCTCTGGTTTATAGTGATTTAGTAAGCATAGCTTATTTGTGGCAGAAAGCCAAAAACATGGAGCATCCAGTGAGGTTTGAACTCACTACTCAGTCGTAATTGATCTAGCAAGACAAGCTTGTTCACCATTCCTGTCATAAAATTTTCTTTTTCTTTCTACAGCACCATCTAGCAGGCATTAAGAGAAGTTACTTGGCAGACAAGGTAGGATAACCCCACAGTATAATACCTCATCTGCTAAATATGTCATCTTTTACTCAGCTAGCTCATATATTCATACTGTGCACACTATCAGAGTCATTCTATTTCTGTATTTGTGAAATTCATATATTTCATTGATATAAATATCAATTGCTAAAACTGTTCATATTGTCCATCAGATAAATATTTTATTTTTGTCTAACTTGGATTTGAATTTGGATGTGAGCATTTGCAAACAGGTTATTACATCCAATGGAACCAGCCTTGTACTCATTAAATATAGATATATCAAAAATAGGATTTTTTATGTATTATGAGGATTGATAAATTAAATTGTGCTCTTACCTGATAATCTCCATCTGCACACTTCTGTCCATTGCCTAGTTCTCCTCCTGGGTAAAGTCCTCTTCTTGATCTCTTTGAGTAACTTCCTGAGGATTCAGGGTCTGTTGATTGGCCAACAGGGACATCAGGCCAATAGGTTGATTGTTGTGAAGGACATGTGTAATTCCCATGTTCTGTGACACATTTGCAAGGAACATTCACTCCATCTCTATGAGTGGCATTTCTCCGATCCTTGCAGCGAATGATGCATATTGACATGGCAGCTGTGATGGACACCGATACAGTCACAGCCACCAGAACAATTACAATCATTAAAACAAGATGTATTCGTTTCTCACTTTTTATATGTTTTTCATTCATTATTTTTAGTGTTTTGTTGCTCACAGTCAATTTCAAAATCATATCAACATTTGCAGACAAAACTGGAGTCCCACTGTCCTTGACAACAAATTCTAGGTCATAGGACCCAGCATCTTGCTGGGTGACCACACGAGTGAAAGATAACAAACCAGTGTAGTGGTTGATTCTGAACAGTTGCTTGTCATTGCCTCCAATAATTTCATACTTGAGAAAAGCATTTTCCCTACTGTCAATATCTGCAGCCTTCAAAGTGGAGATGTTTTTCGTGTGATGTGGGTAGTAAGTCACATCCAAACTATACGGGTTAACTGTAGGAAACGTAAAGTATGGAGCATTATCGTTTTCATCTCGGACTTCAACAATAACATTTGCAGTATTGTTTAACGAGGGTATCCCATTGTCCTTGACAAAAACTTTGAACTCATAGCTCTCTTGGAATTCATGATCCAAAGACATAACTGTTGAAATCAAACCTTTATCTGTAATCTGGAATGGAAGGAAATGCTTGCTGTTTGTCAGAAGAGAATAAGTGAGTTTACCACCAGGACCGAGATCTGGATCTGTGGCATTAACAGAGCCAACCAAAAAGTTTGGCTTTTGGTTCTCATAAATCCAGAATTTAAATATTTCTTTTGAAAACTGCGGTTTTTCATCATTAACATCAATCACCTGAATAGAGAACTTGCTTTCACTGTGTTGAGGTGGGGATCCTTTGTCCTGGCAACGGATTGTAATGTCATGATGGTCTTCAGTTTCTCTGTCCACTGGGTTATTGACAGTTATTTTGTATTCTTTTACTCCCAAACTTTGAAGCTGAAATTTATCATAGTTGAGATAGCAACTGACTTCTCCATTTGGGCCATAATCTTGGTCTGTGACCATCACATAAGCGATGAAACTGCCAACACCAACATCCTCAGAAATGGCAGCAGTGTTTTCTGTTGATGCAGAAAAAAAATTCACATCGATACTTGGGGCATTGTTCTGTTGGTTAATCACGTTGACCATAACCATTGCAATTGAACTCAATGGAGGGTTTCCTCCATCTGTTGCTTTCACAAACAACTCAAACGCTACGTTCTGCCCTTGAGAAAAGGTTTTCACTACAAAGATTTCTCCTGTTTTTTCATCTATTTTAAAATGGGAATTGGCTATATCTGATGTCCTTGGACTAAAATGATAGGATATCTGTCCATTTTCCCCTGAATCCAGATCTCTTGCAGACAAGATGGCTACTGGAATAGCTTTGTCATGTTCATATCTGATGGAAACATTGTAAACATTTTGTGAAAATACAGGTGTGTTATCATTAATGTCAGTAACTGAGATGGGAACATCTAAAACACTTTGTTTCGGTGGTGAACCTCCGTCTTTTGCAATCACCTGAATCAAATATGAATCTTTCACTTCTCTGTCCAACATGTCTTTCAATGTTATACTTAAATCCGAGGTTCCGTCAACACTTTTTGAAATGGACAACGTAAATGGATCATCTATGTTCTTTTTCAGCTGATACGTTAACTGGGAATTTAGGGCTCCGACATCTTTGTCAATAGCATTTGGAATTGACCTTTCTGCTCCCTTTGTGGATTCTTCAGAAAATTCTATGGCGACTTTCATCTCTGGAAACTCAGGCTGATGATCATTTACGTCTTGGATATTCACTTTAATCTTTAACACCTTCATGAAGACTTTTGCCTGTTGAACTGCAACTTTGATTATTCTAAAACATTCTTTGTTGTGTCGACAAAGTGATTCTGCATCCAGCGTTTGAGCCGTGTAGAGTTTTCCAGTCTTTTTAGCTATTCTAAACCATGGTGAATTATCATTCGCATTCTGTCCAAGTAAGTTAAATCTTATCAAGTCACGTGTATTCATAGGTACACTGTCTATCACATGTGTATCAGTGGCAATGTCACCCACATACGTGCCTGGACTTTTCCCTTCCTCAACATAATAGGTGACGTCTATACATAGACAAGTGTGTAGAACAAGCATTAAAATACAACCGGGTACCAACATGCTGGGTCAAATCTTTTGACAGGGAACAAGCATAAAACCCATGCAATCCAATGATCAGATCTGAAATTGAAATAATATTAAATTATATCACAAATGCAGAGATGTGTTTTTTACTTTTAGTTATTTTAGTTTTAACAACATAGTTATAATAATGCAAATCAATAACAATTATAAAAATATGTGAAAATGACCAAAATTTAACATGTTTCAAAGTGGGCAGAATTTTTTGTCAAGAAAGTGCACAATAAGGCACTCTTGCTACTCTGGTGCTATTTTCATAGCAAATGTCCAGATGGCATAAATTCCATAGTTTCTACCAGTTAACACCTTCTCAGCTAGGGCCTGTCATACATAAGGTCGAAACATCCACATTTCCTTCATATTTCATTGGTAAAGAAGAACTTCCATTCAGACTGCTTCTTCTCTAGAATTGTTTTTATGGAATAGACTCCTGAAATGATGCTTACCTTATCACTATGATCTTAACCTCTTCAAGTCTTGTGTCAGTCATTAACTATCTGACACATCCCTATAATACACACTTATTTCTTCTTTTTACATACTTATAACAATCTTATTCAGTAACCCTCTTCCTTGGGCCTTGTATTGGGTGAATAATGATATAACTAAAATGGGAACAGTGAATAAATTAATAAAAGTTCAGTTGATCTATTTATATTATTCACCTGCAGACTATCATCCTCACCTATGTTGTTATTCTTCGGTCTTCATCAGGTGCTTGTTGATCTAAGTTAGCTTCAGGGAATTTTGAACTGAACACTTTATTAAAGCTATAGGGATAGATTTTTCTCTGACCATATTTAGGTATATCTTGTCTAGTTCTTATTTAGTATTGCTCAGTTTTCACTTGTCTCATTTCCACTGAGTCCATGTCTGCACTGTCCAGCTGAGACCACTTTTAGGGACTGAGCTTATGATTAATTTATCTTTCAACCGATTTTAAAGTTCCATGGACCCACCATTCACCAGAGTCAGAAGATCAGATAAATCTATTGAATTATTACCAGATAGCATATTTATATTCTACATAAGAAACTAAAATCATAGACTTAGTACATTAAAATCTTAGACATAGTAGTGGTATTATATGACTATAATAAAGTCAAAATGTTAGATTTTTTTAAAGATAATTTTGATGTTATAAAATATGATTTTATAAACAATAAATTAAACTCAACAAATTCCCCAAACATCAGATAATTTGGAGAGAAATGGAAACATTTTTTAGAAGCAAAGAAAAGAGTGCTGGATTGCGATGTTTGATTCCTCTTATATGATAGTGAATGCTGGACAATCTCTTTACAGATAAGGCAAAAACTAGAGACAACAAAAATGTGGTTCTACAGAAGGCTACTGTGAATTCTATTGATGGAATTATTAAGCAACAAGGGAGAAAATGGCAGCAGAAAGAACTTTACTACTCAGAATCAAGAAAAGATAGCAGAAATTTCTTGGACACATAATGAGGAGGGGGACTTGGAACACTTAACCCTCACTGAGGACAAGAGAAATAGGGAAAAGCAGCTAGCCACTTACCAGACAAGCTTGTGTGAACAGATGGTGAAATTGGGGAGTAAAAGGAGAAAAATTGCTAAGAGGCACAAGGGATAGGAAGTTGTGAAGAGCCATAATCACCTATGTCTTGAAGGGAGGTGGCATAAAAAAGAAGAAATTATTGTTTTATTCAAAATTATGAATTATTTACTTATTTTAAATTATTGATTCTGAACAAATATCAAACCTAGTTTATACTAAAATTCTGACAATATTTAATTACCCTATATTTTTTTATATTTTCATAAAAAGTATTTATATGCAAAGAATATATAGTAAGATAAACTCTGTAAATATTACCAACTAACCCTGATGAGCGGTATGTTCACAAAACTTTGAAGTCGGTCAAAAGATAAGTAAACTGAACTTTTATTGATTTATTAAAAATATAGTTATATAGAAAATTATTTCTCTTTGTGCGATTATATTTTAGAAATTGATTTGTAAAAGTGCATATATTTTTTAAAAAACTCAATATATTTCTAAAATATCATTTTATACTAAATCATAATATAAAATTTTAATACATGTAGGTAAATCTTTATTTATATTATTTACATGCGAGCTATTGTCCTTATCTTTGTTGTTATTATAACATTTCAGCTGTTGTGCCATCTGGCCTTCATCAAGTGTATATTGATCTGGATAAACTCTTTATTTACTCTATGGTGATAGACTGTTCTTCTTCAATTGCCCATGTCTAGGGATATCTCATCTAGTTCTTATTTTTAGTATTGCTCAGTTATTGCTCAAGTGGTTTCCACTGAGTTCAAGTAGATACTGCCCGGCCTAGAGATTGAACTCACAATTACTATATCACCAAATTCATGAACCAATTCTTGGCTATTGTCCCATGGTAGGAACTTTAGAAATGATAAGGCTTTATTGAATTTTAACCAACTCCTCATCCCAAAAAATTCAGGCAGAAATTATTTAGGTAAATGTTTTCAGATAATAAATCAAAACAACACACACAGTTCCTCCTAATAATAAAAAGAAGTCAAATCAGAATTTGTATCAAACTAAAGAAAGTTTGGAGGGAATAACAGTTATGGGGATGATAAATGGAATTGACATGTCAAATTCAAATTCTAGCTGAGGCTGATGCATTTGCTTCAAGCTAATGCTCTTGTAATAGGTATAAATTCATCTCTTCTCCCCCACCAACTAAACAGCAGGGCAAACTGGACTCTCTAGCTTAGGTAGGGCAATGAACAGAGGAGAACAAATTTGAATTCAAAGCTGTGGAGAAGGCTGCAGGAAAATGCTTCACTTCTATTTCCAGAACAATCATGGCATTT